GGTGTTCTCTGTATTATCTGAATTTAGTCCCATATTTCTTGGAGGCTTTGTTTGTTCCTTTTTATTCCTTTTTCTCCAATCTTGTTTTCATGCTTTATTTCTTTAAGTTGACCTTCAATCTCTGATATCCTTTCTTCTGCTTGATCGATTCAGCTATTGGTACTTGTGTATACTTCACAAACTTCTTCTGCTGTGTTTTTCAGTTCCATCAGGTCATTTGTGTTCTTCTCTAAACTAGTTATTCTAGTTAGCAATTCCTCTAACCTTTTTCAAGGTTCTTAGCTTCCTTGCATTGGGTTAGAACATGCTCCTTTAGCTCAGAGAAGTTTGATATTACCCACTTTCTGAAGCCTACTTCTGTCATTTTGTCAAACTCATTCTCCATCCAGTTTTGTTCCCTTGCTGGTGAGGAGTTGTGATCCTTTGAAGGAGAAGAGGCATCTGGATTTTGGAATTTTCAGCGTTTTTGTGCTGTTTTTTTTCCTCATTTTGGTGTATTTATCTACCTTTGGTCTTTGATATTGGTGACCTTTGGTGGTGTTTTTGAGTGGATGTCCTTTTTGTTGATATTGATGCTATTCCTTTCTGTTTGTTAGTTTTTTTTTTTTTAACAGTCAGGCCCCTCTGCAGCAAGTCTGCTGGAGTTTGATGGAGATCCACTCAAGACCCTGTTTACCTGAGTGTCACCAGCAGAGGCTGCAGAACAGCAAAGATTGCTGCTTGTTCCTTCCTCTGGAAGTTTTGTCCCAGAGGAGCATCCACCAGATACCAGCTGGAGCTCTCCTGTATGAGTTGTCTATTTACCCCCACTGGGAGGTATCATCTCCTAGTCAGGAGGCATGGGGGTCAGGGACCCACTTGAGGAGTCAGTCTGTCCCTTAGCAGAGCTTGAGCACTGTGCTGGGAGATCTGCTGCTCTCTTCAGAACTGGCAGGCAGGAATGTTTAAGTCTGCTGAAGCTGTGCCCATAGCCGCCCCTTTCCCCAGGTGTTCTGTCCTGGGATGAGAGTTTTATCTATAAGCCCCTGACTGGGGCTGCTGCCTTTCTTTCAGAGATGCCCTTCCTATAGAGGAGGAATGTAGAAAGGCAGTCTGGCTACAGTGGCTTTGCAGAGCTGTGGTGGGCTCTGCCTGGTTCTAACTTCCTGGCGGCTTTGTTTACATTGTTAGGGGAAAACTCCCTATTCAAGCCTCAGTAATGGTGGACACCCCTCCCCCTCACCACACTGGAGTGTCCCAGGTTGACTTCAGACTGCTGTGCTGGCAGCAAGAATTTCAAGCCAGTGAATCTTAGCTTGCTGGGCTCCATGGGGGTGGGATCCACTGAGATAGACCACTTGGCTCCCTGACTTCAGCCCCCTTTCCAGGGGAGTGAACTGTTCTGTCTCACTGGTGTTCCCAGGCACCACTGGGGTATGAAAAAAAAAGAAAAAACTCCTGCAGCTAGCTCAGTGTCTGCCTAAATGACTGCCCAGTTTTGTGCTTGAAACCCAGGGCCCTGGTGGCATAGGCACCTGAGGGAATCTTCTGGTCTGTGGGTTGCAGAGACAGTGGGAAAACACATAGTATCTGGGCCGGAGTGCACCATTCCTCATAGCACTGTCCCTCACGGCTTCCCTAGGTTAGCTAGGGGAGAGAGTTCCCCAACCCCTTGTGCTTCATGGGTGAGGAGACACCCCACCCTGCTTCTGCTCACCCCCCATTGGCTACACCTGGTGTCTGACCAGTCCAGATGAAATGAGCTGGGTACCGCAGTTGGAAATGCAGAAATTACCTGCCTTCTTTTCTTTGCATTGGTTTCTCTGGGAGCTGCAGATGGGAGGTGTTCCTATTTGACCATTTTCCCAGCCACCAGGGTTTTTTTTTTCTTTTTGAGAGGGAGTCTTGCTCTGTTGCCCAGACGGAGTGCTGTGGTGTGATCTTGGCTCACTGCAACATCTGTCTCCCGGGTTCAATCAATTCTCCTGCCTCAGCCTCCCCAGTAGCTGAGATTACAGGTGTGTGCCACCACACCTGGCTAATTTTTGTGTTTTTAGTAAAGGTGGGGTTTTGCCATATTGGCCAGGCTGGTCTCAAATTCCTAACCTCAGCTGATCCACCCACCTCAGCCTCCCAAAGTGCTGGGATTACAGGCATGAACCACCACACTTGGCCACACAGAGTTTTATATAAACAGAATCATAGTGTAAATGGCAATTCCTTTTGTTCAATTGCTCATTTGAACCCTGGCATCATCCTTAGACTCACATTTACTCACATGCTTTAAATCCAATTTCTCACAAATCCTGTTGGTTCTGCCTTCAAAGTATTCTTGAATCGGACCCACTTTCACCACCCTATCTGGTATTTCACCATAGCCTCTCATCAGAATCATTGCCACCGTCTCTCTCTGTATTCATTATTGTCCTTGTAGTCCATTTTCCATACCATACAGTTATTACAGTGAACCTGTCAAAATCTAAGATCATTTTTTTTGCTTACACCTTCTAATGGTTTCTTATCTCACTCACAATGGAAGTCCTTACAGGATCCTTCTCTGTAAAATAAAGTACCTCTCTGACTTTATTTTATTTTTCACTACTCTCCCCTCTCTCATCTAACACCAGCCACACTGGCTTCCTTCCTGTTTCTCATTTATAGCAAGCTCTGCCTCAGGGCCTTTGTACCGAGGTGACTGCCTGGAAAGCTCTTTGCTTATCCTTAAGCTCTGTCCCCCACTAACTTTGGATTTCTCTTCAAATGACATAGTATTAAAGATCCTATGCCAGACAACCCTATCTAAAATAGCACCCCAAACCTACCCAGCCCAGCATTCCCTATCCTCTCACCCTGCTTTATTTTTCTTCATAACACTTATCACCAATTAACATATACTTATTTGTCTGTTTATTTTCTTTCTGGAATATATTAGACACACAATGAATATTTGTATGACTATTGATGAAATAGGTATCAAACATTCCTGTGATCTTAATTAGTCATCCGACTTCCCAGCATCCCACAGTTTGGGTTAAGGAATAGGCTTCTCTGGAGAAACAAAAGTGGGCCCTGACTCTGATCCTCCCAGCTAGCAGAGTATGCCAGGGCCAGGTGCTGTGGCTGTGGCCACTCTTCCTTCTCGAAGGGCAAGCATAAGGATATTAAGTCAGTAGGAGTAAAGGGTGGGGCAAATGGGCTTCTTGGGCATGAGGAAGTCAAGGTTTAGATGTGAGCTGTTTAGAGGAGTTGTTTGGAAAAGCTGTTTCCCCTGAAGCTGGTGACTACTGTCCCCATTACATAAAGGAGAAAGCTACTCCTTTTGTAGGAGGCTGAGTTTAAATGTGGCCCTTTCCTGCTGGGAGAAAGGGTACCCCTGGTTTCAAATAACTCATCTGGGCAACTCAAAGTGAGGCCTAGGGTTACTTTCAGAAACTTCTGCTTGTTGCACCACAGTGAACAAGGATGTTCCTGTGAGAAGGGACAGAGGACACCATCCCTTTTTTACTGCACAATACTCACTTGTATCCATCTAGACTTATATCTTCTGACCCCATTCCCCCATCACATAACAGCCAACAGCACACACATTGCTCTGCTGTGAGCTACACAGGGAAGACGAAGGAAGTAATCTGGGATAGCAGCTGGACTTAGACTAAGTGAGGAACAGTTGAGTAGGTAGGACTTGCATTAGTCCAGATCACAGCTTGTCTCAAGCTAAAAATATAGGCAGCTTGTCTCAAGATAAAAATATAGGTAGGGCTCATTAAAAAAGACCCAAAGGGTCATATCTCAGAGGCTAGAGTCCAAGATGAGAGCCCAACATACTCTACCATGAGGGCAGACCTTAGCTCTGAAAGCAGGTGGCAAACCCTGGCCCACACCATGGCCATTATAAAAGAAGCTTGTCATGGGAGCTCCAGTTGGAGCAAAGAGGCCTTTGTAGTCTATGACTGGAATCTTCAAAGAGAGCTCCCACTTGGAGATCCCCCAAGTCTTGCTCCTAGGCATTGGTATTCTTTATTTGAATTCTGAAGAAGATATCACAAAGATTTCCAGATATAAAATATCCTGATTTCCTGATAGAGATATAAGAGGGAGGGTATGATGATATTTTATATGAACCTAGTTGATGTCTAGTGACATTACTTATTTAACTTTGTCACTGTTGATCAAGGCCATGTAGGAGTCTCTATTCAAAGGAATTCTGTGACTAACTTTTAAAACTTTATTATTTACCCTAAATGTATGTTTTTGAGAATCAAGGGATTTTTGTGTGACTCACATACTGTCTTTGTTGTTCAATATGTGTATATTTCAAACTAGACAGGTAAAGTCATCCAAAATAATGATTTTGCTTTCATAAATTAACTCATATTAAATTTATGAGTATGATAGATTCATTTTAATATTTAATAATGTATCTGTTTCCACATCTATGTTCAGATTGTTTATAACCTTTATCAATATCATATTTCAGAATTTCACTGTAATCACTCCGCCAGACTACTGTGCTGAATCTTTACTTTTTCTTCATCTTTCTTTTTTTTCATGAATACCTCGTAGAAAACAGCATGCCTACTCTACAACACTTTAGGTGGTACTGTTTTCTCAATGATGGGGAAAAAGGGATTTAGGATCACACGGTCTGATATTTTTGGACCCTGCCCTATACTGTGTATTCTTAGTAGTTGAAATATTACAGTTCATTATCCATAGGGGAACATTTTCCATATCCATACAGAACATTTTCCACAGGGGAGAAAGAGCTATTTCAGCTCTTCCAGTCTTTCAGTGAAGAATTGCTAAGATAGGCTATAGAAAAATCATATTGTATACTAAACCTTAAATGAGTTTTAAGTTCCGTGAAATTTCATTGTAACACAATTTCAGCTAGCACTTGGTCTGTGAGTGACAAGATCAGAAGCACAGTTCACAGTAAGGTTCCAGTACATTTTATTTATTTGCATATTAATCATTGAAGACAAGCATGAAAACTTATTTTCCTTTTTGGTATTCAACAGAGACCAGTAAATCATAGTTATCCCAAATGCTTTTCACTTGGTGGTGATTTACAAAATGTTGATGAGAGTGAAGATGGAGAGTTTATGAAAGAATTCATTTTGACAGATTTAGTCAAAGTAAAAGCTGCTGAATATGAAGATGATCAAGAACAAATTAAAAAACAGAAGGCAAATATTTTTGTACCAAGTAGTTCTCCAGGTAATATTCTTTTCCAGTAAAATATTCAAGTCATTAATGAATTATATTATGGAATAATAGCTTTTCTGTATGCCAGATAAATAAAAAGTACTGATCTAAAATTATAGTAACTTTTCTGTATTTGTTTTTCATGACTCTCCTGAATTAAGGGAATTGATTAAGAGAACCCGTTCTCCATTTAAAAAATGTACATATATATGTAGAGAGAGAGGCTTTTTGCTAGACTTAAGTAGTAGAGTGTAATTATAGTCATTTGTACTACTTATTTGATCAATATCCATTTAACGTTTTGGACTTTGATGTCTAACTTTCATTGTTATTAAGTGGTCAACCAGCGCAAACTGCCAAAAGATATGATGCCACGTATTTTAGAAGATGAAGGATTCTATATTCAGAGAAAGCCAGAAATACGTAAAAAGACCTGCAACAAAATGGAAAATCGCCTGCTTAAACTAGAAGAGGCAAGTGCAGCAGCTAACAACTTAGAACACTGGCTAGTATGTGACTTTATAGTAATTAAAATATTTAATTACTATACTTAAATATTTTTGATAGGGAAAGCGTTGGTTTGGAGAAAGTGGAGAAATACTGTCATTGCCTACACCTATTAAACAGTCATGGAATTTCAGACTAAACATAAGGAAGGAATCTTTAAATCCATTACTTAAGACCATATACAGAAAGGTAACCAACAACAATTTATTTGTAATTATGGTTAAAATTCTAATATCAATTATAACTGATGTTTTTGTGCTATTGATTTATCCTTTAAAAATACTATGTATACTAATATGTCTAAATTATGATGAAATGTTAAATAGCCCTTCAAATTATAGTTTAAGGAATATTTAATGATATGGGGAAATGCTCAAAATAAAATGTGAAGTGAAAAAAGCATAATGCAAAATTATATATGATCTTAATTTTACAAAAATAGTAAATGAATGATACTATACATAACTACTGTTATAACTTCCACCGCTATAGATTACTCGTCTGTTAGTTTTACCTATTTTGTATGAATGGAATAATACAATAGGTGTGCTGTATTGTTGTGTACAGCAATAGCTTGTTCATTTCTGTTGTTGTATAGAACTCCATGGTATGAAAAATACATTTATTTATTAACCATTCTTCTGTTGATGGATATAAGTTACATCCAGTTGTTGGCTATTACTAATAACAGTACCATGAAATTTTATGCATCTTCTGATAACTGTATGTATATGCATTTTCTCTGGGGTATGTATCTGAGTAGAAATGCTGGGTTATCAGTTTGTGTGTGTTTAGTTTTACTATATAGTGCCAAATGATTTTCAAAAATGGTTGTACCAAACTATACACAAACTAAGAAGTGTGTGAGTGTTCAGCTGCTTTATATTCCTGCCAACATTTGGTATTACCTTTTAAATCATAGCCATGCTAGTGTATGTAAGTGGAACTTATTCAAATTTTAATCTGCATTTCCCTGATGACTAATGAAACTGAACACCTTTTCATGTCTGTTGGCTATTAGGACAGCCTCTTTTATGAAAGCTTGGTTAAGACTTTTACCCATCTTTTTCTTGTTGGATTGTCTGCTTTTTTTTATTGATGTGTTGATTTCTAGATATGAACCCTCAATCTACTCTATGGCTAATCTTCTCACTGTCTGTATTAGTCCATTCTCACACTGCTATAAAGAAATACTTGAAACGAGGTAGTTTATAAAGAAAAGAGGTTTAATTGGCTCACAGTTCTACAGGCTGTACAGGAAGCATGATGTTGGCATCTGCTCAGCTTCTGGGGAGGCCTCAAGAAACCTCTTGGGAGGACTCAGGAAACTTGCAATCATGATGGAGGGCAAAGAGGGAGCTGGCACTTTACAAGGCCAGAGTAGGAAGAACAGAGAGAAAAGGGGAGGTGCCACACACTTTTAAACAACTAGATCTCAGGAGAACTCTATCACTAGAACAACCCCAAGGGGATGGTGTTAAACCATTCATGAAGGACCCACCCCCATGATCCAATCACTTTGCTCCAGGCCCTACCTCCAATACTGTGGATTACAGCTCAACATGAGATTTGGGTGGGGACACAGATTCAAACCACATCACCCTCTTAATGGTGGCTTTTGATGAGATATATATATATATATTTTTATTATTGTACTTTAGGTTCTGGGGTACATGTGCAGATCATGCAGGATTGTTGCATAGGTACACACATGGCAATGTGGTTTGCTGCCTTCATCCCCCCATCACCTACATCTGGCATTTCTCCCAATGTTGTCTCTCCTTGACCTCCTCATTCCCCCGCTGCCCCTCCCTTGGCCCCCAACAACACACTCCAGTGTGTGATGCTCCTCTGCCTGTTTCCATGTGTTCTCATTGTTCAATACCCGCCTATGAGTGAGAACATGTGGTGTTTGATTTTCTGTTCTTGTGTCAGTTTGCTGAGAATGATGGTTTCCAGATTCCATGTCCCTACAATGGACACAAACTCATCGTTTTTTATGGCTGCATGGTATTCCATGGTGTATATGTGCCATATTTTCCTTGTCCAGTCTATTGTTGATGGGCATTTGGGTTGGTTCCAGGTCTTTGCTGTTGTAAACAGTGCCACTATGAACATACATGTGCATGTGTCTTTATAATAGAATGATTTATAATCCTTTGGGTATATATCCAGTAATGGGATTGCTGTGTCAAATGGAATTTCTATTTCTAGGTCCTTGAGAAAGTGCCACACCATCTTCCACAATGGTTGAACTAATTTACACTCCCACCAACAGTGTAAAAGAGTTCCTATTTCCCACATCCTCTCCAGCATCTGTTGTCTCCCGATTTTTTAATGATCGCCATTCTAACTGGTGCAAAATGGTATCTCAATGTAGTTTTGATTTGCATTTCTCTAATGACCAGTGATGATGAGCATTTTTTCATATGTTTGTTGGCCTCATGTATGTCTTCTTTTGTAAAGTGTCTGTTCCTATCCTTCGCCCACTTTTGAATAGGCTTATGTTTTTTTCTTGTAAATTTGTTTTAGTTTTTTGTAGATTCTGGATATCAGCCCTTTGTCAGATGGGTAGATTGCAAATTTTTTTCCCATTCTATTGGTTGCCTATTCACTCTAATGACTGCTTCTTTTGCCGTGCAGAAGCTGTAGAGTTTGATTAGGTCCCATTTGTCTATTTTGGCTTTTGTTGCCAATGCTTTTGGTGTTTTGGTCATGAAGTCCTTGCCTATGCCTATATCCTGAATGGTTTTGCCTAGGTTTTCTTCTAGGGTTTTATGGTGTTAGGTCTTATGTTTAAGTCTTTAATCCATCTGGAGTTAATTTTAGTGTAAGGTGTCAGGAAAGGATTCAGTTTCTGCTTTCTGCACATAGCTAGCCAGTTTTCCCAACACCATTTATTAAACAGGGACTCCTTTTCCCATTGCTCATTTTTGTCAAGTTTGTCAAAGATCAGATGGTTGTAGATGTGTGATCTTGCCTCCAAGGCCTCTGTTCTGTTCCATTGGTCCATATCTCTGTTTTGGTACCAGTACCATGCTGTTTTGATTACTGTAGCATTGTAGTATAGTTTGAAGTCTGGTAGTGTGATGCCTCCTGCTTTGTTTTTTTTGCTTAGAATTGACTTGGCCATGCGGGCTCTCTTTTGGTTCCATATGAAGTTTAAGGTGTTTTTTTCCAGTTCTGTGAAGAAGGTCATTGGTAGCTTGGTGGGGATAGCATTGAATCTGTAAATTGGGCAGTATGGCCATTTTCATGATATTGATTCTTCCTAACCATGAACATGGAATGTTTCTCCATCTGTTTGTGTCCTCTCTTATTTCGTTGAGCAGCAGTTTGTAATTCTCCTTGAAGAGGTCCTTTATGTTCCTTGTTAGTAGTATTCCTAGGTATTTTATTGTCTTTGTAGCAATTGTGAATGGCAGTTCATTCTTTCTTTAAGTCTGTTATTGATGTATAGGAATGTTTGTGATTTTTGCACATTGATTTTGTATCCTGAGACTTTGTTGAAATTGCTTATCAGTTTTAGGAGATTTGGGGCTGAGACAATGGGGTCTTCTAGATATACAATTATGTTGTCTGCAAATAGAGAGACAATTTGACTTCCTCCTTTCCTATTTGAATACCCTTTATTTCTTTTTCTTGCCTGATTGCTCTGGCTAGAACTTCCAATACTATATTGAATAAGAGTGGTTAGAGAGGGCATCCTTGTCTAGTGCCAGATTTCAAAGGGAATGCTTCCAGTTTTTGCCTATTCAGTATATTGGCTGTTGGTTTGTCATAAATAGCTTTTATTATTTTGAGATATGTTCCATCAATTCCTAGTTTATTGAGTGTTTTTTTTTTTTTTTTTGAGACGGAGTTTCGCTCTTGTTACCCAGGCTGGAGTGCAATGGCGCGATCGCAGGTCACCACAACCTCCGCTTCCTGGGTTCAGGCAATTCTCCTGCCTCAGCCTCCTGAGTAGTTGGGATTACAGGCACGCGCCACCATGCCCAGCTAATTTTTTGTATTTTTAGTAGAGACGGGGTTTCACCATGTTGACCAGGATGGTCTTGATCCCTTGACTTCGTGATCCACCCGCCTTGGCCTCCCAAAGTGCTGGGATTACAGGCGTGAGCCACCGCACCTGGCTTATTGAGAGTTTTTAGCATAAAGGGCTGTTGAATTTTGTCAAAGGCCTTCTCTACATCAATTGAGATAATCATGTGTTTTTTTGTCTTTGGTTCTGTTTATGTGGTGAATTACGTTTATAGACTTGCGTATGTTGAACCAGCCTTGCATCCCCGGGTTGAAGCCTACTTGATCATGGTGGATAAGCTTTTTGATGTGCTGTTGCAATCGGTTTGCCAGTATTCCATTGAAGATTTTTGCATTTATGTTCATCATGGATATTGGCCTGAAGTTTTCTTTTCTTGCTGAGTCTTTGCCAGGTTTTGGTATCAGCATGACGTTGGTCTCATAAAATGATTTGGGAAGGATTTCCTCTTTTTGGATTGCTTGGAATACTTTCAGAAGGAATGGTACCAGCTCCTCTTTGTATGTCTGGTAGAATTTGGCTGTGAACCCATCTGGACCTGGGCTTTTTTTGGGTGGTAGCCTTTTAATTGCTGCCTCAACTTCAGACCTTGTTATTGGTCTATTCAGGGTTTCGACTTCTTCCTGGTTTAGGCTTGGGAGAATGCAAGTGTCCAGGAATTTATCCATTTCTTCCAGGTTTACTAGTTTATGTACATAGAGTTGTTTGTAATAATCTCTGATGATGGTTTGTATTTCTTTGGAATCTGTAGTAATATCCCCTTTATCGTTTTTTATTGCATCTATTTGATTATTCTCTCTTTTCTTTTTTATTAATCTGGCTAGTGGTCTATTTTGTTGATCTTTTTGAAAAACCAGCTCCTGGATTTATTGATTCTTTTTAAAGGTGTTTTTTTTTTTGTGGTCTCTGTCTTCTTCAGTTCTGCTCTGATCTTAATTATTTCTTGTCTTCTGCTAGGTTTTGAGTTTTTTTGATCCTGCTCCTCTAGCTCTTTCAATTTTGACGATAGGGTGTTGATTTTAGATCTTTCTTTGCTTCTCTTGTGGGCATTTATTGCTATATATTTTCCTCTAGACACTGCTTTAACTGTGTCCCAGAGATTCTGGTATGTTGTGTCTTCATTCTCATTGGTTTCAAAGAACTTCTTTAT